TCACGACACAAATTCACTTGGAGTTGTCTTGTCTCTTCCTGACACAAATACACAGAACCAGCCGAAAGAACGGGACGTGAAGGCAATTTGATTGGAAGGGGTTAGGAGGATATACCCGGGTGTCTTTATGTAACCTTGCCCTCGCATCGACCGCACTTCAGCTGTTTTCCTGCTAAATGACTACGAATTATCGAGCTGGGCTTCTGAGCCTATTATGATCCGTCGAGGCGGAAGGAGGGGAGATCTTTCAATCTGGCCCCATCCCTGTCCTCACTATTCCCCTAGCTCGAATTTCCGGGCATTTGATTTGCTGAGCCGTGATTCGCCCTGCGCGGGGCAGGTAAATCTCCTTTTCTCGCTGATATCAAGAATCATAGTACGGAAAAGCGTACAGGACACATCGTCTTCTTGACTGAAATCTTGAACGGACTGAGCGACTGTTTGATGATTCCTCTGCTAAAATAGGGCAAATTATCGGACATCTGCCTCCGTACTCTACGTGTTAAACCTCCTTGAATCCACGCGTTTTTAACACTGCCAAATTAAAGAAATCGATATAAGACTTTTGTAACATTTGTTTTACTACAGGCTTTTTGCAATTTTAATTTTATTTTCTTAAGACACTCTTGTCTTGTGCCTTGCATTATTTTGGCCCCAAGAGAATACGCTGTGTTGTGTGTGGTAGTACGGGATAGTAATAGTACGCAATTTTGGTTAGGGACAGTCGATTTTTTTCAATGGGTTAAAACAAATTTTGTGAGACATGAGATAAACGGATCTAAGCGCGGAAATGCATCTGTGTTGTTGGGATTAGATGCTCGTATTGGCGCGCGGATTCGTCATTCGTGTTATTTTTATTCCGCTGAGGAAGACCGCAGATCTCGGGGAAAGACTTCAAAAGGTGTAATTTGAGAAGTCTCTTAAGAGGAATTAACAGAGGCAGTCGACCTTTTGAATACTGCATGCTTTTCCACACAAGAAAATAATTGCTACATTTGAACACTCTCCAACTCTGTTTCTTTGTTCAGCTTGAAAGGAAAAGAAAAATGGCGCCAAATATTTAACTGCTGTTCTGGGCACTAATAATCGACGTCAATGGGCCTATTGCTTCCGGGACACAAAGCTCGCCGAGATGAAACAGCCGTCTGGTTTTATAATCAAATTTTGTCGAATCCATTTCATTATGCTTGCTTTTAGTGCGGGTAATTCGATTTATGAGCGAGTGCACGCTCAGGTTGGTGGCCTGACCGCCCGCGGACCGTTCTTCGGCCGATCGCAAATTTCGTAGAATAATTCCGCCGTCAAGAGTCGGTGTCGCGCGATCTCTCATTACCAAGATACACGGCGCAAGAAAACACTTGATTTACGCGCCAGCGTTAAAGCATCACTGCCGTGCCGGCTCAAAACAGAGAGATTGGATGTCTTAACCAGAAGAAAAATCTCGGTGTAATTCGGGAAACGACGACAGCGGCTGATAAATGGCTGTTGAATAACTATGCTGTCGTTTCACGCGGAATTGTCGATTGATGTTGAACGCCTGACCTGTATGCACACTCGGCGCGACAGAAAATGTTAGGCCTACCCCGGCACGAGTGTCATCCCTTCTTTTTTTCCCGGCAGATTATGATCAACTTTTGCCCGGGCAATATGTTCGTAAATATTTAGCGGTCTGGTATTGTGGAAGGCCCGGATGACTGCCAAAAGTTAAACAAATTCCTCTCCTGCAAAAGGTCGGAGGGGGAACGCAGTCCAATGACAAAACGACGGCGATCGGCTATTTTGAGCTGTGAGTTGTAACCTTGTCTTTCAAGAGTGTCGCAAACATCGCTGCCGATGTCCTGCCCCGTCCCCTTATCACTTGTCTGAAGGTGTCTGGGTTAATTTTTCACAGAATGAGGTTTCAATATTTTTTTTCCAATAGTGTGAAGAGGAAGGCAGCGGTGGTTGGGTTGCCGCTGGCAATGTTGCACCCTTCAAGTCTCGCTTTGCTCGTCTTGCTCCCAAGGGAAACGGTTCGACTGTCGTATCCAGCGAGCGAAAAAAAATGGTCTCCTTCGGGTCATTCCCCGAATTCGTTCTCAAAAAACAAAACAAAACAAAACAAAGCCAAAACGCGCTATACCCCTGGGAGGGGGGACAGCAGAGCACAGATCGCTCATCATAACAAGTACCATAATAATATGTGACTGCTCGACCTTATTACACGAACCGTACAAACCCCTCCCCATCAGCCCCAAACAGGTGCATGCAAGGATTAAAAAAACCACGAGGCGGCGGGAAAATGCAATACAAGCCTGACCAAAAATACATGATCGGTCATGATGTCATATTTTCGGAAACATTTAACTAGATAATGAAATTAAATAGCCTTAGGCAAACTTCGTTCCACCGTGCGGAGGGGTATATTTTGTAATCAGGTCATGATATAAACGCTTGTCAAGAATGAACATCATGGAAACAGTTGATAGAAAGATGCAATGTGGGGCAGGCTGCATGTGTATAATATATACAAACCAGCATAAGATATGCAGAAATAAGCGCAGGCGTGTAAAGTCCTTTCAGCGAATACCGCATCTTTCTGGTTGAATTCTCAGTCTATACTTCCATGATTTATGAGTCAACAAAAATCTCCCAATCGGCGCAAGTCAATGATCTCAATTAATTTCCAAACATTGAACATCAACGCCCCCCCCACCACACACACACACGACCAAATCGCCGCCTTGCAATTTTCTGCTCCGCCGCACGCACGGGGCTACTGGACACAACCATCGGTAATGTTTCAATCAGCGATTCGGCGCTCGCCGTATGCTCGCCCGGTCTAAACTTCACCCCGCGCTGATGACATGATCGCATTTATCAGAGCCGCACTGGATACTGCAACAACAATATATTGATATAAACACGCCTAACGGAGCCGTATGCGCCGGCAGAGTGAAGGGCTCGGACAGCACCCGATGCAATGTGCCTTTTTTGTCGGCGAAAGCTATTTGCCAGCAAACACATTTTTGACACCTGAAACTCGCTGGTCACTTTGAGCACACACACGCCAAAGACTGGCCTGACAGACCAAACAAACAATCTTCGAGCTCCCAAACGTTGATTTTTCAAGATTCATGAGAATTTCCACCGTCGCGTTTCCAGGCCATACGTATGTGAAAACTTCATGATCCCATATTTCTTCCGATAAACCCCATTCCTTTGACAGGTGATTATTTTTAAACAATAAGGTTTTTCATGATGAAATATAAAACTAATCAACTTTATATAACTTTCAAGACTGAACGCCTTTACGACCATCCATTCAGTTTTCTTTCCACAATGAGCACTACATTAACAGTTATCAGTTGACACACCAGACTTGGACAGAAAGTGTAGCAAAACGTGGATGAAAATAGTCGCGAATGTTACTTTATTCTGTGTTGGTTAAATATGGAATCAAAATTTATGTTTAATATGGCTAGTCGATCATAATTCGTGCCTATTCGCGGCCATGCGACCTGTCTCGATTCAAGATCGGCTTTTGGACTCGAAATCGGCTTCGGTTCGAGGTCGATCTCTGGAGTCGAGGGGTGAACGAATCTGGAATTACGTTTTTCCGAACTCATGGCTCTACAGACGAGACTCAACCTTGGAATCGAACTCTTGGGGATGGAGGACTCGTCTCAAACCATTATTATTTTGCAAGGCTGGACTCCAGACTCTGGATGTCCCTGTTCATACCATTAATCCGCATCAAATCGTACGGTAGTTATTAGTCAGCTCATCGCCATAGATTCCCTGATATCCTCAAACCACCCATACAACACCCCGTGAGTAATATCAAATGAGGTGAGACTTGAATGTGTTTTTAAAATAATGTGCGGAGTCGTCATTTAAGCGCGTTTATTCCATAGTACCATTCATGAAATTGATGTGTTAATAATCCGCCAGCTCTTTCAATGCCGACCGCTTCTATCAACCCGTTGGGGCTGGCGTATGACTTTATTAGGTGAATCATACCACGGGGATAATACCGACTTGTCAACGCTCGACAGCGCAGGAGACGGGGCCCAAAACGCGCACGGTGCAGCCCCAACCTTTGCACTGGTATCAATCTTAATCGGTGGCAACATCACCAGCGCGCAATGTCAATACATGTGAGGCTGCCCTGGCGCAACTGGGATGACACATTGAGAATCCGAAAGTGAAGTAAATGACTCCGGGCGGCTTTCGCGCCGCGCTTAATAACTGCCACGCAGCCGGCGTTAAAGGCACACTTGAAGGCTTGCGCTTAACCCGTCCACGCTGCATGGCGAGTTGTGTTAGCAATTTGCCCCGCGTGTATCCCTTGGAAACGGATCTGGCAAGAGAACGCACGGACGCGGTCGTGAATTGCTACACATCCGAGGACAAGGTACTATTTTTGACGGGCTTCCCTACAGGATTTGTCCCCAATTGTTAAAGTGGGGACCATTTCCTAATCGAAATTGTTCATAGAGCGGTTTTCATGACCTGACACCTACTTTCAGGTGGGCGTCAGTTCATGGTGTCGGTGACATCAGCCTTGGTCGGCAGAACCACGAACTTCTTATGAATTCTCGTGCCCCTCACAGATTGACCCAACACCAAAAAACACGCATATAAAAACACGAGTATGCCACATGCCTCAGAATCCAATTTGACCATTTTTGCGCCGTTTACCCAAATTGGTGAGTCTTGTTCTAGCTGACATCGAGGACAGTGCACGTCAGAGGTTGAATTCCACGCAGCGTATCAAAGTGTGCCCAATTTCCACGTCGGGCAATGAACAAAAATGTACATGTACAGTATAAGCGCGGCCCCTGTTTTACGTTCCCTCTAAACGACAGTTTTCTAAATATTGCTGGTGTCATAATCTGGTTTGCTTTCCGCATGGGCGGGGTTTACTTTAAAACATATGCATGTCATGTACCACGTAAGATTCAGATGTGCCACCATGACACTTTTACATTAGGAGCTCAATTCAAAGAAATGCTTACCGACATTCTTGATTATCATCTTCCTGTTGAACATGATGTGGAACGGGAACAAGTCGAAGAACAGCGAGGCTTTCATCACTTCGGATTCCTCGAGTGCATAGGCGTTCTTGTCTCTTTCCACGAACTCCTTGTTGTCGAAGAAGAGTTTGAAGACGACATAGGTAGTGTCCCCCCGGGTTTCCTCCGACACCAACTCCACCGACACGTCCAGGTTGTAGAAGAGCCGGCCGACGGACTTCAGTTGGCCCTTGACGTAGTGGACGTAGCCCGGCCTGCGCGACCGGTAGTGGAGGGTCAGCCCCTGGCTGCTCTCGTCCGTGCAGAAGAAGCTAGGCGGCTTCATCTTGGGGTAGCTGAAGCGCAGATACTCGTGCAGGTTGTCCAAGCCGTTCAGGAAGTCGCGCATGCTGCGACCGAGCACGCGCAGCATCTTGTCGTAGCCGTACTTGCTGAGGAACCTGACGAAGTCCCGGCCGACCAGGTCCATGAACTCCTCCGTGGTGCAGCCGGTGTACTCGCTGACCGCCTGGGCCAGCCGCGGGATAATCCGCTCGCTGTACATCCGGTGGGTCACGTAGGTGTACTCGTGGATGCGTGATTTCTCCCTGATGATCAGCCATGCTTCCTCGCCGTAGGTCTCCTTGATCACCTCAATGGTGTTCTCTACAAGTAGCCCGTACATACTGGCAAACAGTTCACGTTAAACAGTCTCCGAAAAAATGAATCCTTTTCCACTCACTACGGGCGTGAATTAGCGTAGCATTTCACGAGTAAAACCCAGTCATGATTACTAAGTGTTCCATACAAAATTACAAATCCCCTTGATCATGCAGAGAAAATTATCAGTACCATAGCGTTAATCCGTGACATTGTGAAGCCATACCGGAATGTGCCCTCAATGACATGGATTCTCCTCCATGGATAGCATGGTCTTCTCTTTTCTCTATAACGTTGTGCAGACTACTGTCTTAAAAGAAAGAGGACAGGCAGTTCGACAGAGCGATGCACTGGCGATCCAAAACACAAGCTGGTTCTCTGGTGGTGGGAACGCCGCGCACAGTGAGTCACGTAGCAGCCGGCTCCGTCAGGCGAGGCTTTGTGTCCTGTTTACGCTAACCTTTAAGATCTAACATCAATCACCCCTGGGGAGCCTGCCCGCTCTTGCTCTTTCTCCCTCCAGCTAGTAGACCCATACTATGGCAGTCCCGCTGCACCTGCAGCTATACCGTAACCAGTAGGTCCAGCCCGGCGAAGAGGATAACGATAACTAACCCTGAGCGTCGGGCGCTGAGCAGTGATTCGACTCCAGGTGATCACGCCGGCCGCGCTAGATTCAGCGGTCAGAGGTCAGCCAATGAAAATCAGCAGGAGCAAGCGATTTATATACATGTACATGTATATATCTGCTGCGTGTCACTGCCGAACTTGGTAGGCCAAATCATAGAGAAACGGCAGCGAATGGGGGCGATGAGTGTTAGGTGAATGGCCGCCTGCAGACAACAAAATCGAGTGCTCCTGGCCTCATCTCCCAGGGGATTGGTCGGCAAGTGATCGAAAAGCCGGCGAGTTAACTAAATAAACTCCGTCTTCTCAGCCCTGACGTAGAACGGTACGTCTTTGTGGGACCACGTTGAGGGATATACGAAATACAGTGCCGTGTGGCCAAGCCACTGGTAAGAACGAACGAACGAGTAAAATATCGCCTCACTGCCTTTGAAAGTTGCCGGTTGAAACACAGAGTCGTTAGCCCTGCAGGGAGAGCACAAAAAATATCACTTTACTGGTTAATAAAAGGCAAAGGAAACACGGCTATTTACTCAAATATTGGAAGAAAAAAAATAGCTAGAAATTTCGCATCTATTCCTTCCTCTATGAGCGCAGGTAGCGCATTAGGCGATACGTCCTATCCAAATAGAAGCAATTGACTATCTATTAACGACTTAACTACCATAGTCCTCTGGGAAATCCGATATCGAGAGGCTTTAGAGCGACAGTGAGTCGGCTGTCAAAGCAAAGTTCAACACAACAGCCTAGCGTGAAAAGATAAACATGTTCTTGCTTAAAAAAAATTGAGGAAAACTAGCAAGCGGCAATGAGTTTGAAATCAGCCACATTGTTTTACACAAATATTTGAGACCACCGTTGAACGTCTTGCTTCGTGATGAGTACACCTCAAACAAGGTGCTCAAGACACACATCAGATTAAAGCTCATTTTGTCATCTTTCATTTTCCTTTCATTTTTTTAGTGGATGAACCGGTGACTTTCGAAGGTATTTCTCTCAAGAGATGATCACCCCTACAAATGTTATTGAGGTTCATTGCCATTTTGAAAATTGATGGCAACACTCTATTGCAAAATGCAAAACAGAGCAACTGGGAGGGCGCCTTTTTTGACCAATATTTCCAGTAAGACGAGCTGGCAGTCCTGCTGGTAGCTTCAGTTTCTGTGTTAGGCCAAAAAAGTCTCCGGTTTCTGGTCAGCGCGCGCGTCGCCGTAGACCTGCGTGTCGGCAATATAAAGAAGTTTTTATTTGATATAATACGATGTCCAAAAGCTGCCAAACTTGCTTGATCAACTGGAAACCTGCTACTGCGTAATTTTAGCGTGTATTAGATGGGGTACGGTGAGTAATTTTGCACAGTAAGGAGTCCCTCTAGGCCCCCATACATTTAGTCAGGCACTCTTTTTGAGATGACGCCTTTTCTGTATTATACATTCATATCTGGGAACCAGACAAACGAGGTCTTATGTCCTGTGTACAAGTACATCTCCGAGCTGAAAACGCTTCACAGTAACTAACGAGGGGGCAAGTCTATTTCAGTGTTGGTAGCGGCGGTGCGTACGTACCAGCACATGTGCGTGTACTCCATTTCTAGGAAAAAAAGTGTTGGCAACCAAAAAAAAAAAACCCAAAAAATAAAACACGTCGCCGCACCACTTTTGGAGCCAGCCCCTAACTAGAAACCGGAGCCGTTTCATGTTTAACACAATACCGAGCGCCCTCAGCCGTGTTATACGGCCAAACCCGATTCTAGTTCAAACGCAGACCACATGTACACTGATACGGCTCTTCTTTCCATGATTGCTGACATCAAGGCCCGTTTCCAACACAGTCACAGCATAACACTCACTTCAGGCCCCCTACAGAGTAGGCACATCAAAACGTCCAGGTTCCCGTTCGCACGTATGCACCCACGTGAGTTGTAGGCCATCAGTAGTCGAGTTTGGGCGGCCTGTTCTTGGCACTGCTTTCTTGTTCTTGCGCTCGAATAGCGGAAACATGACCCAAGAACGCTGTTATCGGAACAGGAGAATACATCACCTCCTCATCAGGGTTTTTACAGGAACACACGGAAAAACTCGTGAGATTTTGATTTTTGAACAACCACAAAAAGAGCGAGATGGCTCACAGAGCCGGAGACAATATGAAGTTTTGCCAAATTAAAATTACTAAATTTCCACAACACAGAAATGAATGTTCCTTTTTAAAGAAAAGAATTCAGCCCAGTTATCCAAACCCTCGAAAAACGAGCATGGACGCCAGTCTAACTGAACTGCTGGTGTCCGCTCTACTTCGTCTGACGGTATCTTGAGTATTGTAATAGGGCCCAACTGGTAGAAACAATTGCGACATATGTCATCCCACACACTGACTGATTCAAATGCCAAACGCTCCATGAGATGATCAATGATTCAGCCGGTTTTCGGCACGCATCACTGTCTAGCCATCGGTCCTTCCTCGTTTCTCTGGTGCTAGAGTAAATTAAGTTTCGCTTCATGGATCAGGCCTTGGGGGGGGAAACTTCGATTCGAGAGGAAAAAATTGGCAAAAGCCTACACCACTCAATCATTTTCTGTTGGCTGTAACTGGTGTAAGGCAACAGTGTTCACTTTGCTGTCCAAAGTGCTACTGGTATACATCTCCCTGTCGTCGGTCTTAAGTCTCGATTTGCTCGCCCCCAACGCCCTGAGGATAGGCTAACGCCCGTCGCGGCATTTTTCGAAGGAAATACAGCTGTCGTAGCCATGTGGGTACCTCACATGAGTACTTGATGAGCACATGATATATTCTGTTCCCAAATGTACGTGTAATGTTAAAATGTTATAATACATCGTTTCCTCGAAACATATCGCCACCGACACCACGAACTAATTAGCACTCGGCTGCAACAATATTCGGTTTCACAAACCAGCAACGGGCCGAGTAGTGGGCGCGCACATCGGACGCTGAAACGAAATAGAACGATTTTTCGTTCACACGAACTGGTACCCAAGACTATTACGGCAATTCAGCGCGGAGAAAGATGCTGTGAAAGGCTTGACATGAATTTAATTTATCCATATACTTGCTGCCTCACCCATAAATTTAATTAACATTTGTTTTATTACCTGTGGAATTGAGATCGGTATCAGTTCGTGATAACGAAAAGGCGAGGAGTGCGCGCCGAAGGTGCCACACTGCTCTGGGTGCCAGTTCGTGGCAACGTAAATAAATCGGTTCACTAAAATGCGCACAAATGAGATCACCTCGCGCACGACTGCCATTTCGTGGTGTCTGTCACGATATTCAAAGTTATTTGAATTTAAGGGCCATTCAGTCTTTCACGTTGATCTTCCCGATCGTAGTGATAATGAGGCAATTCTTCCAGCAATCTCCTACTTCAAAAGTCCACGTGAGTGGACGTGATAAAAACAGGTACATGGCTGGAGAGTACGGGGGACCGCCCAATCAATTAAATTTCCACGAAGCACAAGATGAGTTTGTCTGATGGGCCTTGCCGCCGACAAACGATTACATTTTGTCCTTCGCGCCGGTTGCTAAGCAATGAGGTCTGTTTACGCCGAAACAGGATAAATATTTAACGTTTGGGAAGAAACGGTCGTTTTGTCAGAGAAGGAGAAATGTGTAATTTATCTCCGCATATAGAAATGCAACTGACTATTCTATGGCAAGTAACCTTACACTAAATGCACCACGTTCAAGGCTGATGGTGGGAAACATCAACGCATGATCTGTCTCAACCACGGTCTTCAGTTTGAGATTTTAACGATGTGAGCTACAAGCATTTGGGGCAACTTGCCCCCCGACGGATTTTTAAAAATGTTTCTTACTTAGATTACTTCATAGGTGAACAGGAAAGAAACTAACCGCTACATTTGTTATCAAATAAAAAGGCTATAATTTTTCTCCCTGATTATCATGTTGAATGAGCCCGAAAGTGCACTTTTGAATTCGCCCCCTGCCCCCCTAACAAAAACTGGATACGCCACTGGCTAGAAGTCTGCCATTTCTACTAGAGCAATCCGAAATGCACCTGGCCGTACATCGCTGTCGCTTTGAGCTGTTCACAATTATTTGACTTCAGCCCTAGTTATACAGACATAACTCAACTACTGAAATTCCTCTTCCTCACCGTTACCAGGAATAAACATTTCCGTATTGAGTAGGGATGCTCTATTACTTTTTATAAAAAAGGCTTCAATTTATCATGTGGGATAACAGGCACTGTGTACGACAAACTTCGTTTCGTTTCGAACTAAGCAAGGGAAGAATAGTGTTGTGGCGAAAGTTAAATTTTATTTGGAGGTTCAATTCAATATTGTATTGACCGCTTAAAAAAGAACAATTCAATTTGTACTCTCAGCTATTAATGCCCATTCGAAAAAAAGACAACAAATGCATCCCTGATTTCATATACTCAAAATCGTTTCATTTTTTTGCCAAAAATACATCCCCAAAATTAGAGTATGGGCGTCGTGTTGACTGAACCGTTTATTGCGTTGCTTCCTGTAAATACTGCTGACTCACGTAACACGGACGGTTACGACATGAAGGGGTCGAGGTGACAGACGAGACCTGTCTTCGCGTCCCTTTCCTCTCAACAGACTCTCTGTCGCCAAGGCCCGGCGCAAGACGCGTCATCGCGAAGTACACGCCATCTCCTGTATTTTAAGGGGTGTCAGGGTCTCGAACGATCCGATTGCTGCGCATGTCCTGGATTCAGTGTAATTACAGTCAATGCACCTCGATCGCCTGGAGGTCGACATCCGGGACGGATAGATGGGTATTCAGGCGACGACGCGCCCCCCCCCAAAAACGTGCGCGTTGTGGTTATGCCTCATAACGCGCGACAGACAGCAACGCTTAATGCTGTGGGAAGTCAGGACTATAGCTGTTTGAGGAGCACCGCATTGCGTCACACCAGCTAATCGTGCTGGCCGTTTGCATAGGAGATTTCTCCCGCTTGGAACTTCTAGAAGCATCAACCAAGGTCTTGCAAATGAGCCAGCTCGGTATTCCAACAGCGCCTGCTTAAAAATCTGCCCACTGGTCCGCCCTCTCAACGAGGCCCTACGCGGACTGGCGTGAGTTCCCGAATGACCTTGCTTATTCGAAATGCCCTGCTGGCTCAGTGAAGATACGTATCAAGAATGTAACCAGTCGCCTCAGCGGCTCAGTCAGCTCCAAATGACCGGCAAGTTGCAACCTCCCCCGTGCGTACTGAAGAGGCGTTCGAGAAGGAGGACGCGTCGTTACATCTGATCATTCACAATTCCTCAAGGAATTTTTACCCTCTTTCAGTTTTGTCTTGGTTTTTTGTCTCGAATCGGGCTCTCTAAATTCGGTACGAATGCATGATTAGCTTAGGCAGCCTTTTAAAGGGACTTGACTTGTTGGAGCCTAATTTAAGAAATCTTGCTCTAATTGTATTTAAAGGCAGCCAAACGATCTACGAAGATGTAATC